TACATTAACTTCTCTTCTTCGTCATCGAGCTTGGAGGCGATGTTGGTCTTGAATGCTCGCAGGAACGACTTGAATGTCTCAATGTTCCCATCGAAGGTCCTCAGCTTGAGCTCTGGTAGGTTTACCCTCTTCAGCACCTGCAGGTCAGGGTTGATTCTTGGTGGTCTTGAGTGCTCATCTCCCATCACAGTCACTCGACCTTCCGCGATCTCTTCTTGAGGTATCACGGGCTCTCTTTCTCTGACATCAACCAGCCTTCTTCTTTGTATCGTACCATCTTCTTGAGCCAACTCTCTTACAACTTCTCGGCATCTTGCTTGCTGTATGGTAGCATCTTCTGCAGTCGGCTCTCTTGCAACTTCTCGGTATCTTGCTTGCTGTGTGGTAGCATCTTCTGCAGTCGGCTCTCTTGCAACTTCTCGGTATCTTGCTTGCTGTGTGGTAGCATCTTGTGCAGTCGGCTCTTGTGCAACATCAGCACTTCTTGTTATCTCTGCAGCTTCTTCTTGAGCTAACTGTCCTGTTCTGATTTCATCTTTCATGAGAAGCATCTTCATTTTGTCTTCTCCCTTGAAGACTGATTCTTCATATTGCAGCAACACACCCTCCTTTGCCTTGCTCTCTTCTATTTCTGCTTCAACTTCAAGTTCCTCCTTCAGCCTCCTCAGTTCAGCTTCACGAGCCTCAAGTTCATGTTTCCTTTTCAGTGCTTCTTTCTTTGCTAGCAATCCAGCTTGTTTTGCCAGTTCTATCGCTCTCTCTGCTCTTACAGCTGCCGATGATGACACATTTGAGCCTGCTCTTGACAGTGCTGGTGAGCCCTTCTTACTGCCAGCCTTGTCATCTTCAGTGTGTGAAACACCACCTTCCATGTCTGACCCAAGCAGTTCCTTCTGAAGAACCTTCTGCAACCTTTCCTTGAGAATCGCCTTGGTTCCCTGCACGTCTTCTCCTCTTTTGGCAAGCTCACCCTTCAGCTCTTCTTTCTGCAACTTCTCTACATCCATCCCAGCTTGCTGGTGTCAGGTGTGAGTGCCAGATCAGGTAAGTGTACAGGGATGGGAGCTCCAGAGCAACCAGTTGGGACCAAGGAACTGGCAGGTCACATCCACAGAAAACAGTCAAACAGGTGGGGTTAAACGGCAAACACTGAACAACATCATAATGAGCAGATCATGTGTTCAAATGAGCAGATCAGACAATTGACAACCAGCTCTGTCCTTTGACAAGTAACAATAAGACAAATCTCCGAGGCAGTGCACCACAAGCTGAAATCCTTTGACAATTAACAATAAGACAAATCTCTGAGGCAGTGCACCACAAGCTGACTTAAAATACACAAGCATTAACCTCAAGCCAGCTCAACAAAATGACATGTACTATGTCTAGTAACTTTGAGTCTCCCACTGGCCAATGTGCTTATAAAAAAGGCAGGCAGGCCCAGAGAATCAGATTATCCCATCTCAACTGTGGCAGCTGCTGCGGGCTGAGCAGCATCTGCTGTCCTCACTGTGACCTCCTCCAGGCGGCAGGTAGACAGGTCGTGCTTGCAGACTGATGGCTGACAGCGAACCTCCGCCATGTAGCTCCTGAATCCATGCAGCTCTTGATCTTGATACAAAATCTTGATACTATTGCTGCATCCGCCCCATGTAGCGATCCGAAGAAACTCTGATCACGCATCCAGTCAGTCCAGCAATTTATTGTTGCCAGGTGAAATCAATGAATGACTGAATGAATGGTATCTGCGAAAACACCAGCAAATAAATAAACAACTAAATCAAGAACAGTCGTCAAACACAGAAAAATAAACATAATATATCCATCAAACCTCCGCGCTACATTTGTCTCAAAATACACAAATGTTCACCAGCATGGCAATTATCACAAGCCACCACGAAAAGACACAAAACATATTGCGCTCAACGAGTTTGGCATATCAATACCTGCATATTACATTCAAGATACATCTTCTTACCAAGATTTGTGTCCTCACTCGCCACATCGGAACAGAGCAACAAAATCTGGTCTGACCGCCATTCTTCCACGTCATACGTGTCCCAAAAAACCGAAACAGCTGATCAACAACTCAAATAGTTCTCACATCGAATATCTACTTCGAATTTGACCACCACCCCACCACTATCGGTCAGCTGGCGAACACAACAGCAGTGCCATCTAGCGACGACCAAAGACACTACTCTGCAGATGTCGCGCCGATCGCGAAAAGGAAGCAGGTAGGTAGGAAGGCGTCAGGAAAGGCACTTACAATAACTTCAGCTTTGACTAGCAAAAAAAAAAACATAATCGGGTATTTTTGAAAAAATAACCTCAAATGGACACAGTGACGTCAGACATGACGTCGTAGAAAACTTCAAATGCACAATTTGGCTTCGGCTCTTGCCAGGATAAATGCAGCACATCAGCATATGGCTCTATCAAAAATCACTATCGAAAAAAAATGCTGCAGATCTTTCATTACCTGAATGACCTCAGGCCGCAGGGCATATTTTAACAAATTTTTACTGCGTCCCAAAGTTGAGCAGAGGGCACGTGCTACGACTAAGGGCACAGGGCAAGGAACAGAGTAGGGCACTGAGAAGGGCAGAAAGTAGGGCACGGCAGGTTGCAGAGCATGGCACAGGACATTTTAGAGGGAAGGCCGGGTACGGGTCAGGGCAGACAGCAGGGCACAGGTCAGGGAACCGAACAGGGCAGGGACGCAGTGGGTCAAATTAGCAGGGGCTACGTCCCAAGGCAAGGGGACTGCGTCCCAAAATGGGACACAGTAAGTGCCTTAAAATATGCCCTGCCTCAGGGACATAAGGAGTGGTTACGAGTGCTATATGTACCGGTTCAATGTGTCATGTTTACCTATAACCCGATGTTTGAGAATGTTTAGTATGGCTTTCTTCCAAAAGAAAAGCAGCTCAATTTTGCACAATTGACTGATTGACAGGATACAAAATCGACCGAACCTTAGACACATAGTTTATACCTAATCTTGCTTCACCAGTCACCGAAAGGGTCATAGCGATCGTTCGGTCGGTGTACTTAGCTTTAGCGAGCATTATCTTTTCTGAGTTGAGGTCACTTGGCGTGACCTGGTGTCCCTACTCCCTGGTGACCTACATTGAAAGAGCTGGGTCTCAATTGTTAACATGTGAAGGAAATATGCATGTGTTCCAAGAACGGCGGCGCATCGCATCCCTTCCTTAGATATTCGCGAAAAACCGCAAGGGGGTTTTCAACCCCCCCCCCCCGCCGGACGTAGATTAATGAAAGGACCACAAAACTGATCTAATGTCAGGTCTCAGATATCAAATTCCGAGATAAACTTTTTACACAAGCTATACGTAATTCCCTCATCAATCACTGAACGTTGCAAAACGATTATTCTGTTTGTGTGGGAATGGCGAGTGTCTATAGCTTTCCCTAATATGACCTGGGGACCTGACCTTGAACGACCTGGGTCTGAAAATTTAATAACTTGTTTAAAAAAGGCGTCCGATAAGGTAAGCAAAAAGTGTTGCACGCTGCGCCAGCGATTGTAAAATATTCGTGGAAAATCGCAAGGGACTGTTCAACCTTCTCGCAGGGCGCGATCTAGTTTTGAAGGCACGCCATAACCAACGATCTACCATGCCTCATTCATTAGTATTCAATGATGTGCTTATGTTCATCACTTACCGCATGCTGACAGCGGTAAAATGAGCACACATATCGAATGGTGATGACGACTGACGTCTAAGAGAATGTTCAATGCCAGCCTTGAGTGGAATGTACCTACTCTGCAGATTGAATGGCGCCATGTGCATCGGATCTTAGGGTGAATAGGTCAAAAACGCCCCCATTAAGCGCGAAACCTTCTGACACTCAACCCAACCCAGATTACTCAAACCTTTGGGCACCATCATGTAGCTCATTCTTTTTACTACGCTTTGAGACCAAGAAAAGACACTTGCGTGTGGTATTTAACCCCCCAAAAAGGTTTCCGCATACCCTTACAAAAGAGCGTTTTGCCCCACACCCTGGGTAATACGCCCACACCCATGTGCAAAGCGCCCCCACCCCATCCATCAACAGAAAATGATGAACATGGCAGAACTTGACGTCATTCTGACGTCATTTGTGGTCAACCTATCATAGCCTTTGGAATAAAATGATGTTGCAATGTGTAAAATGGATGCCCGGAGGAGTCCTGAAAGTTTGGTGACGATATCTGCAGTCGTTTAGGATATATCAGCAAAAAAGGACAGGGAGAGGCCCTTTCGGCCCCGACCTACAGGGCGCTACCCTGCACTCTCACCACCGTGCAAAACGCCCCCCTTTCAGAAAACTGGGGGCGTCTTGCCCCATGCATCGAGTAGGCGTCTTTCCCCATCCACTCCATTTCCGGTTAACAAAATATTGACAAAAAACGCGCCACTAACGCCGCAGCATAATAAATTCAACAGAATGACAATAAAACGCAGTTTTGAGTGATGTGCACAATAGCAAGTTTTGTGATATAAAGAAGGCATCAAAAGCTTAGGAATCTTCTGTAAAAACAACAAAAACAACACCCAAAACCAACATCAGCACCTACCTACGCTGCTCCTCAAGACGCAGAACCGGAAATAGAGAACTACGTAAACAAGCAGCTGACTGTTCTGAAAGACAGGATAAAACACCTATCCGTCGATAAGATCTACGATTTTTTTGGGGGAGGCGTTTAACCCTGGGGTGCGTTTTCCCCACAGTTACCCTACTCCGCACCCACGCGACGGAACAATATCACGCTGGTTCCCGGCCTCCACGCCGAGTACTACACACTTTAGATCGCCGCAGTGTGACATGAATAGTAATTGTGAATGCGCGGTCGGTTCGTCCGTCCGCGGACTGCGTGACAGGGATGGGGCCGGTAGGGGGACTGTACCCTGACTGACCGGTATGGCGGCTCAGTGGAGATGGTTCCACCGCTCCTATAAAACCGGACTGTCCGCCCAGGCAGTCACCAGTGCTGTCCAGGAGTTCACGTGTGTGTGTTTGCTGCCCATCTCAGACATACCTAACCGTGCCATGAAGCTGGTGAGTGATTGGAAATATTTTGAACAAGTGACCTCTCGAAATCCTCACAGTGGTTTGTGGCTACAGTCAGGCAAAGTGATTTTTTGCTACATATTCACGTGCAAGACGAATACGTGAAAATTGATTTTGAAAATATTTTTGCATTCTTTTCGTCAAATTGCACTGAATAGACATCAATAGTTATTTTGATATAATACATTAAGCAGTAGGTAAACAAAAAAGTATCGCGAAAGAAAAACTCAGACAGATTTCCAAATTCTCCAATTTATTCGATACGCAAGCCTTATAAAAACACTACTCTCGAGTCTCGACAGCCATAATTCTCACTGAAATTTATCCACCTGCAACATGATATTGATTGAATCAACCCTTGCTGTCGGCAGCTCGTGCTGGCCTGTCTGGCGGCCGTGGCCCTCGCCCGGCCTCAGGAGTTCTTCTCGGACGCCGAGAGGGAGGCCATCCGTGACCGTGACCGTTTCGCCGAGATCACCAGCTTCGAGAACCAGCAGACCCAGGACGGCGGCAACGTCAACTCCTTCACGGCCACCAACGGCCTGGAGCGTCAGGAGGAGATCCGGCTGCAGGAGGTCCGCGTCATCAACGACGATGGCCAGGAAGAGCTCCGCCTCGTGCCCTTCTACACTGGGTCCTTCACGTAAGTGGATTTCTTTGTGAATGAATCTTGAACGAATAACTTGGCGACGACAGCGTAAGGATTTGGATACTTGTCAAGATAGCTAAATGTCCTTTGCTGCTTTACCGTTTATTTTACTTTCTTTCCAATACATTTGCGTCCCTCTCAATGGTGCTTCCCGCTTGCGCGGGCCTCGAGTGGTAATTGATCTTTTCAAGATAAAAAGTCTAGATGTCACACAGCCTAGAAGCTTTAGCAGACCTACGAGTATATCGTGTGAGCATTATTTACGGTCCACAACTGCACTATCCGTTGCAAAGTCGTCTAACACACAATTTCATTTTTCTGCAGGTTCCCGAATCCCGACGGCACCTTCACGACCCGGCGGTACTACACCGATGAGACCGGCATCCACTTCGAGGGCGACGACCTGCCCGTGGCGCCCCAGGCCTTCTAGAGCGGCGTCCCTGCAGGCCTTCTAAATCGACACTCACCATTTCATCCGCACCATTCTCACTCCGCTTTCGCCAGCCAGCCCACAAAACGATAACGATTATCTCGTGGCAAGTGTCAGCGATCAAACGGCGTGGTGATCCCATTACTTGTTCATGTGAAGCAATACATGTTTATTGTTATTACTTGTGACTGTTCGTTGTGGTGTCCGACAGAATAGCATGCAGGGTGAGATAAGGCCGCCATTTAGCGCAGTTCATCGCAAGGATGTTATGGGGTACAAGTAAACGGGAAAACTAGCGCGAAAGCATACCATTGGATTTGGAACATAGCCAGTTGGCAGAAGTGCCGACAACAGTCAAGCTACCACATCAGACGACGCAGACACATGTACTTTGTATATTATACCGACTAATGGTATGCCGGATGCCGAGGCTCAGTGCTCCAGTCACTGGTGAAGCAACCAGTGAGAAGTCAGAAGTGGTAATATAGATGTTACAGAAATACGTTAAGGACAGGAGGGAAGGCTTCCCAGACATCCCACCTGCCACAAGTGGGATGTGTAAAAAAGTATTAGTAGCCGAAGCCTTATTGTATTTGCCGAACAACTGCATTAACCCTCGCCGGCCGAGGGGGGGGGGGCGGGTGCCGCCCCCCATAGGGTTTTTTCGCGATAGCTCCGAACACGCTGGCGATAGAGAGCTGAAACTTGGCATACCTGACCTTTGATCCAAGCCGCATCTTTTGACACCAACCGCATTTTTGGGTCAGGTCAGGTCACTGACCTATGACGTCATAAGTGAACCTCTGCACGGTCTTCAGATGTATTTTATATCTCGGATTTTTCCTAAAGGTCATATGAGGTCAGGTCATTTTCGTGACCTCACCATTATAAGTCAATGGGGAAAAATTCAAACTGCTATTCTGGCGCCGGGAACGATCTCCAACTATCTCAAGCACACAGAATCGTGATTTGATGCACTCCTTGCAAGGTTAGATGCGTCACTTTTGCAATGTTGACCTTCCGTGACGTCATGTATGACGTCATCAAGGTCATATTAGTTTTTCGTCAATAACTCCCGATCAAATTGAGCTCGCGAGTCGGGAAAGCCACCAATGGACTCAAGAAGACCTGCCGAATCGAATGATATGCGACATGACCTCTTTCGACCAACTTCGTGACCTGGGGGTGCTGACCTGACCTTGACCTGAGGTCAACACCCTAAGTTGACCTGACCCGAACAAAAAGTATATCATTCGACGCGCCTGAGCAAGGCGAACACGATGTTGCCAAAATCGCGGCTCTGCGGCCGTTTTTTGCGAAGTTATTCACCAAAAACTAAACAGTACCCTGGGGCACTTGACCTGACCTCAGAGGTCACCGGTTGACCTAGGACCTTAAAATCGGGTACCAATCTCTGCATCTCGTAACGGCGCCAACGCTCGTTTTTTCCGCGACGCGCTAGCTCCACCAGGGGCGAAACGGCGAGGGGGGGTCGTACCCGCACCCGCCCCCCCCTCGGCCGGCGCGTATGTAGAAAACCAATAGGTCCGGCGAGGGTTAAAAAACACCTATCTATACCCAAAGGGTAAAACAAACTGGTGCAGATTTTACGTTGAAGGTCAACCGGTGACCTTTGAGGTCAGGTCAAGTGTTCCTAGATGGGGGCTCAATATTTGGTGAATAATTTGACCGAAAAATGGTCGCACGACAGCGATTTTGACACCGTCGTGTTCATCATGGTCAAGCGCGTCAAATGGTACTTACAATTTGTGTTTGGATGAAGTCAGCTTGTGATGTTTACGTCTGGTCAATGTCTAGTCAAAGCCACTCAAGTCACAAAGTTAGTCCAAGGAAGCCACGCTGCATAGCTCTTCGGCAAGTCTTCCTGAGTCCATTGATGGCTTTCCCGACTCGCTAGCACATTTAGTCTGTTAGCTTTTGACGAACAATTCCGATAACCATAGTGAGTGACATAATTTATGACGTAGCAAAATTGTTTCAAGTCCTGCTTGCAAGGAGTGTATGCAAACATGTTTCCATACTCCTGAGAAGATTCTAGATCATTTCTCGCGCCAAACTAATAGTTCCCATATTTCCACCATTGACTTACAATGGTGAGGTCAACTGTCAAGTGACTGACCTGACCTCAGGTGATCTTTATGAAAAATAAAAAAAATTGAGAGGGTTTGAGAGTTTGCCGAGCCCCGCAAGTTTCATCTCCATTCGAAAGGCCCTCTGGCACTGCGTGATTTAGGACGTTGCAGCATTTTTGCTCACTTATGAGGCCACTAGTGCCTTGTGAGTCATGACCTCATAAGAAGTGGCCTGACCTGAACTGAAGATGCGGTTGACGTCACAAGATTCGGCTCAAATCAAAAGTCAGGTGCGTCAACATTTAGCTTATGTACTATCGCCATCAGCGTTCCGAGCAATAATAATAATAACGTCCTAGGGACCCTCCCCAAAGCTTTGAACCGGCCAGGTGGGGCCTAATCTCGATTGAGCATCATTTCACCGATCGATCATTTGCATCCAAGTTACCCTTAGACGCTCAAGACGCAAAGGCGGCCAATGCTGGCGCTCAGACGGTGCGAATTCCGTATGACGTGATAGCCATTGGCCAGACGTAAAAACAACAGAGGTAACGATAACAACAGGTATGTATTGCATCACAGGAGACAATGTAATGGATCACCGTATCAACTGGTGTGTAATGACTCACGATGACTATGTCATCTAAAAGTGTTGAGTGAGGGTAGGTGCTTCTGCGCCTGCTGATGTTCAGTATGGCGAAGCTGTTGACTTAGAAGGGCTGGGGCGCCACGGGCAGGTCAGCACCCTCGAAGTGGATGCCGGTCTCGTCGGTGTAGTATTTCCGCTCGGTGAAGGTGCCGTCGGGGTTCGGGAACCTGCAGAGGGAGGATCGTCGTTAGCCGGACACTGACAATGATCATTACCAGATGCAAAAAGCACTAAGATGAGTAGGTAATTACGATAGTGCAAATGCATGCAACATTTCTCCAGAATATCTTTTGTCCAAAAAGGCACTAGAGGAAAAAAGAACCAACAAAGAGCAGGCGCCTCGACTTTGAAGCCGAAGGATTGCAAACTGGTTGGTCATCGTACCTATCGCTAGGCAAGCAAGTCACAAAATGTAGGTAAGAGGTACTTCACTATTCCCAGGATGACGGCGCTACGCCTATCCGAGATCCTCTTGGGTTCCCCAATCTTCCCCGTCGAATGAAAGTCTTTTGAATGCTGGGCCACTGAATTGCGAAACAGGTACTAAACAGGCACCACGTTCCTTGGCTAGGTAGCCAGGCCCTGTAGCTTTTGTACAGTTGAGGTTCTGGTGGTGAGCTCTATAGTTAGATGACCTTTTCAACCGCGGAAGTTGTATACGTACTTGAAGGACCCAGTGTAGAAGGGCACCAGACGGTACTCCTCCTGGCCATCCTCGTTGATGACGCGGACCTCCTGCAGCCGGATCTCCTCCTGGCGCTCCAGGCCGTTAGTGGCGGTGAAGGAGTTGATGTTGCCGCCGTCCTGGGTCTGCTGGTTCTCGAAGCTGGTGATCTCGGCGTAGCGGTCACGGTCGCGGAGGGAATCCACCTCAGGCTCCGAGAAGAACTCCTGAGGCCGGGCGAGGGCCACGGCCGCCAGACACGCCAGAACGATCTGTAACACAGCCACAGTGGTCAGTCACGTGCGGTCGCAGGACACTGCGCAAGGCTTTTCCTTTTTGGTGAATCATCACGGAATCTGAAATATATGTGGAACTGCGGCGGCACGATTCACTGTTCATTTTGTCTTCCTTTTGGCAGCACTCACCAGCTTCATAACTGCGGGTTGAGGACGAGACGGGCGCACAGTGGAGCCAGTCAGCTGGTTCTGATGCCCACTGCAGGGAGGAGGCCGGTTTTATAGGTGCCGCGTGGCCCGCTGACCGGCCGCACCGGTCCACCGACACGGTGGGTACGTGCCGCAGCCTCTGCCGCCCCGCCTCGGCGCACCAGGCGGGTGAATGGGCTGAGCAGAAGGCCGCAACGTGATGGAAGCGTTTGGAACGCATTGCTGGGGTGTCATACGGCTGAGCTGCAATCTAACCGGTTAGCGACTAGGTGGAAGATTGGGCTAACGGATCACTAATGTTATGCGGAACGGGAAGATCCAGATGATACGCAAGACGCTCTGATACCTTTGATGACTTGATGAAATGTATAAACAAGAACTGATGGTCATTGTTTATGCTAGAAGCTCAAACTACATGTTGAAATAATAGGTATTGGATAATATCCTATGTTAACGAACAAAAGTTGTTCCTTCAATTTCCAAACACTGTTTCTGCACAACTGTCTTATGTTCGACAACCCCTACGATGGTAAAGCAAAAACTGTGATTTAATTCATGTATATTTGCACAATTCTGACATGCATTTCACGGCAATCATGCAACTAACTAAGCGAAGATAATTAGTATGCGTTTGTGATCGGTTAGCCCCGATCATCCACCATAACAATGCGATGGTGCGCGAACCCTCAAAACAATGTTACGGACAACCCTTTGCCTATATGAACTACCCGAAAAATCAAACTGTTCTAAGCAATGACGATCTTTTGGAATCGTCAGAGAAAGACGTTGTCTTCCTCGGAGATCCAGTACAACGATTGTCGTGCGTGTTTTTCTCGCCTCTATCGCTCTCCCATCTCTATCTCATTAGCCATTTTACACGTCGCTACAAACATCAACATGCATACTGCAATCTTAGGGCAGTTTGACAGGTCTGGGGCGCAGGACTTCACTCTCACCATCGTTATCAACAAGCCGACATAAGCCACCGCTCTTCAACCACTTCCCACCTTGACCTCACCTCGGACCGACCTCACCTCCAGCTCACTGAAGCAGACTCCTCCTGCGGCCGCTGCACGCCCCTCACCCCACGCCCCCACTGCAGCCCCCGGAGGATCGTTCACGGCAGGCGTCTACTGCAGTGCCTGCGGGATCGAGTCGCCCACGGCGTGGAAGCCCGTCTCGTCGGCCTCGTACTGCACCTCGATGAAGGTGCCGTCCGGCTGCTGGTACTTGAACGAGCCCCGGTAGACGGGCACCCGGACCGTCTTCTGCTTGCCGTCCTCGCCAGTCACGGTCAGCTCCTTGATGAAGACGCCCTCCTCGCGTTGGATACCGTTCCCCGTCTCGTAGCTGAAACCGGAGAGCGAACATTCGTCAGACACTCAGAGTCACGAGCTGAGGCGAAAAGTACTCTAAATGAGTTGGAAAGTTCAGCAATTACAACATCGTAGTTTCTTCTTGCAGATATTATTTCAAGAAATATGACCTTTTTCGTCTCATCTTGTTGGGAAAGGTATTTTATTGGGAAAACAAGACATAACTTTTTCAGATGTTAGGCGAAAAGATATCAAATGAAGCCCTGTTTGTTTGCATTTTTAGCCTGTTTGAGCATTTCCTTGCACACAACTATCGTCCATTGGACCCACTAACTGGCCACTTTACTCACGCGTGCTGGTTGCCGCCGTCCCCAGTCGGTGCGTTCTGGTAGCGCACGATGGGTACGGGTGGGTTACGCTGCTGGTTCACTCCGCTCCCGCTGTACTGCTGGGTTCCGCTCCCACTGTACTGCTGGGTTCCGCTGCTGCTGTACTGCTGGGTTCCGCTGCTGCTGTACTGCCGGTTCGTTCCGCTGCTGTATTGCTGGGTTCCGCTGCTGCTGTATTGCTGGGGTGCGGCGTTGCTGTACTGCTGGTTTGCAGCACTGTTGTACCGCTGCGCCGTGCCGCCGCTGTACCTCTGGCTGGCCCTGTTGGACGCTGCTGCCGCCGCGGGAGCCGGCTGCGCCCGCTGTCGGTACGTTCTAACGTCCGAGGAGGGAGTCGGGGAGGGCTGCGCGGGCTGCTCGTACTGCCGAGTGGTGCTCTCAGAGGCGGGCGGAGCTGCAGTCGTGGTGACCGCCTCCTGCGGGCTGTACGACGGGGTGGTGGTGCCCCGAGAGGCGATACTCTGGTAGCGGCTGCGTCTCCGCGCGCTGGTGCCCCGGTACTGGGCGGCGGGGGCCGCCAGCGCCACCGCTGCGACGCACAGGATCAGAACAATCTGCGGAAACAGTCAACATCAGACACTGAACATGTGGACTCATCCAACCATAAATACTCAGTTTTGAGCTTTGCAGGTCCAATTATCTTATGTTGTAAATCGCGATGAATATGAAAATAAACCCATTTGATTCATCGCTTACAAAAAAAAAGTTGAATAGATGATAAACGTTATAGGTAGATCAGTATATCTGGGGTGCTCACTCACTCGCTGCATGGTGGGCTCACGTCTCTGGCGCTCTGACAAGGTGTTACAGTTGCACACCTTCTCTTATAGTCGTCACGGCGTGTGACGGTGTGTGACGGCGTCACGGTGGTCGCTGATGGCGCGTGCCGCCCCGGGCAGTGCACACCCCTACCGCCGCGACGGGCGGCCCGCTCCCACGGCGAGACTCCCAGGGTGACAGAGACGGTGAGACGGAACTGAGCCGTCTTTGACTGTGTAGGTACTCTGTACTGGGTTGAAGAGACCGCCTCTGACCGATTAGCGGTGGAAATTTAATTATAACAAGGCGTGTTTGCTCAAGGAATGAGGCAGAGCAATGACAGAGGCCGGAGGGTGGGATGCAACGATGGTGAATTTCATCGCGGTGTGAGCTATCGGACATAAAAGGGAGTGTTTTCCTGTGAGAATAGTACCTATGCTTCCCGAGTGTTGACATATGCGTTGCAACATTCTGGTCGTTCGCTATATCACATCGCTGTGAAAAAGACAGTGCGTTTCAGGCACCTTGTGTTCTTTTTGCAAAAGAAACTGAGGGCGTCAGTCGATTCATGAATTGTGATTGCCAAATATTGCTGCACCGCACAGTGGGGATTTTTCCGATCTAGCGCCTATTAATTCAAAAAATCTTTTTTGGATTTTTGTTTATTTTTTGTGTCAGTGGGGCTAAGAAATGTCTGAATCTTTCATATATGGCATTGTTTTATCTGTATGTCTACAGCAAAACTAGGAAAAATGCGCCCGAAGTTCACACTCATGCGTGATTACTCAATGGGCTCAGCAAGGCCCGAAAGTATAGCTCAATTTCATTGTCCTGTCCTGTTGGTTTTAATCTTGCGAGGTCTTAAAGTTGCATATCGTCTGAAAGGCACCTTTATTAGGAATGGAATGGCAAACAGAAAGTATGCCACAACCTTACTAAGGTCACAAAAATGCCCTTTACAAAAAAACCCTTACAGACACCATATTGAAGGAATGGTATTCTAAATAAATGTAGGAAATCAACAATGTTCTCCACACTTTTCCACTCCGAAATATATCCTATCGAATTCGCCACTTTCTCCCGCACAAGACAACCCCTAGTTTGGCTGCCGAAACTTGCCTGAACACGGAATATTCACATTAGAGTATCTTCACACCCCACTCGAGGAGCGCTAGGGCAAACAGCACGATATAGGTAGGTTCCGGACATAGGCGAATAATTTTACTTCGTGATTTATAGGATGCATATTTTCTGAGACATCATTAGGAATAGGATGACAAGCGTAAATTATACATACCGTAACCTTATTAACCATCGCACTTGTGGGGAGGGGGAGGGGGAAGGGGTCGGATAAAACCCCATGGTTTTCCGCAAATTACTCGCGCAAAAAGCGGCCGATCGCGCCGAAACTTTCGGTGCCCTCGAGATCATCAATATTACATCTAACCTAAAAATTTCATGACTCTGACCCAACTGACCTTTGACCTGTGGCATATTTCTCGAGACCATGTTTGGCCGGAATCGCGGTTCGGCGTATGCCAGCTCACATTATCCGCGGTTTCCAGTCTTTTTGTGGTTTTAAACGTTCAAATATGTGAAATGATGTTGGTGCCATGCATAATGGTGGGTGGCAAGGTCACGTGAAGGTCAAGTCAAGGTCATTGACCTTTTGATGACCTTGGTTCACTTTTTCGAGTTTTACTTGTTTCTAGGGTAGTTTTTGGTGCTGATTTCGATTTTAGCAGCCATTTGAATATTTACGAAGTAGTTCTGGTGCCTTCGTTCCATGCTACGAAGCTATCAGTAGTAGGTGACACTTCTATGGATGGCCGGCAGGACGCCTACTAGTTGATCTAACCTGACCTGACCCGACCTGGCCTAAATGCATAAAGACATCGTCTGTGATCAAAACTAACATGAAATTCGTGATCAGCACCCCAAAATACCCCGTAACACCCTAACTTTGCGAAGTTTCAAGAGGTCTCGATTTCCCAACTTAAGTTGGGTCATTAAACTGACTTGGAAAGTCAGCTTATGACCTTGGACTTTGAAATTGGATATATTCGGCCTCATTTCGTCATAGGCAGCACGCTTAACTTTTCCGCGAAGCTCTAGCTTGATCAGGGGCCAAACGGCTGAGCGGGGGTCCAATTGAACCCCCTATAATATGTTGATTATGCACATTTACAGGTAAAATTCTCACCAGGACACACCAGCCAACATATGTGCACAATCTGGCTACAATTCTACCTATGGTTTGCCCTCTACGAATAAATACGTGCTAGATCGGAAAAATCCCCACTGTGCACCGTGAGGATTTCGTGCGTTCATGTGTCCTTCACATGCTGACACATATTCGGCGATACGACGGTGCCGTTTCAGCCGTTACACTGCACGTAATAATCGGGTGCACGTGGTGTGGTCTGGTGACTCAAAACGGTCGGAAACGACCGCCATTATGTCAATTTTTCCAATCTGCTAGCTAGCCTTCCCACGTCGGCGCAATTTTTCACGGGTCCGGCGACCGTGAAGTGGAAAACGATTGGAGAAAATATGGTGCATGAAATGCTGCTCGTGAAGTATAATGTCGACTACCTGTCATGTCATTGTCCATGACACCAAACAATGTTCCGCAATGGCTCATGAGATGCCTACGTTTCATCAATCATGTCAATCCACTGTAAGTTTAATATCTTATGGACCGTAGAAAGCAGCAGCCAGCATATATTATCTATGAGGCGAAAGCCCTTCAATCATTGACAATTTTAAGCAATGCATAAACACCTCTATTCTCTGATAGTGAGCCATGTATCTCTTAACTGCAGGGACGTGCAATGCGTAGGCGTCTATTCGATTGGCCGTTATCCACCTCAGAGGCATAGAGAGAAAATAAACGACGCCTAACAAAGTTATTGTCCTCACGGGTGTCAAAATCCTGGCTCTCAGAATACGAAGCATTTCCGGATCAGAACAGTCTGTGTAAATTGTCGCGTGATATTTACCATTTCAAACCATATAATGGTACTGTATATAACAGATATAGCGTCTAAACACGTGACGGCAAATAATATCCAGGAACATAGCACGCGCGGGGAGTGCAATTTTTCTGCTCTGTATACTGCACGTAATTTGGATTTACCAGGACAGGATGTCAATTCAAGGTGACCTGATAAAGTTGCAACTTCTGTGCATCGTGGTTTAGTATGAGAAGCCGGGCATCCTGTGAGATATTGACATATTATCGTTTTTACGTGGAATCACTTTGTTATTAACTGAATCAATAAACAGAGCTCAAATGATGAATCAGTCCGAGTCCCTTCTCTTGCGTTATACGGTGTATTGATTTGTGTGTATTGAGTATACTCAATACACACAAATCATAATAGGGATGGTATACCATCCCTCCCCAGACTCGACCACACCTCCCCCCCCCCCCTCACCTCGAGCCTGCACCTTCCCACCGAGCGGTCACGGAGACCCGTCGCGAGTCGTGATCCCATACCGTGACGACCGTGAATTACCGCCCGTTCTCCGTACGTCACTGCCGGGTGGGCGGCCACCGTGAGCAGAGACTGACGGGGGGGGGGGCAGAGGAGGGGGAGGAGAGGTATCAGTCACTCTCGCCAAGGCAAGGCGGCGATCTACCGTGATGGTGGGCCATCTTGGCACGAACACCAGTTGAAGAACTGAGGACTGGTCTGTCGGTCTCTGTTTGCCTGGCTCCCTCTCTCTGCTCTTTCTCTCTCTCCCTCTCTCTCTCTCTCTCCCTCTCTCTGCTCTTTCTCTCTCCCTCCCTCTCTCTCTCCCTCTCTCTCTCACTCTCTCTCTCTCTCTCTCTCTCTCTCTCTCTCTCTCTCTCTCTCTCTCTCTCTCTCTCTCTCTCTCTCTCTCTCTCTCTCTCTCTCTCTCTCTCTCTCTCTCTCTCTCTCTCTCTCTCTCTCTCTCTCTCTCTCTCTCTCTCGCCCTCGCTCGCTCTCTTTCACTCCACGGTTGCTGGCACGGAAGAGATAATGAAGCAAGCGGACTACGCATACCGTTTACGAACCGCTACGGTGTGAGGCAACGGTAGCGAGATCAAGTGAGGCCATAAGTTGATAAAATTTGACAGGTTTGAAAGTGAAAATGCGGCAATGAAATGTAGCGAATCGTTATCGCTAACTCAATCATGATTCATGAGTTAATTGTTCTTCGTTAATTCATTTTCAATTCAAATCAAACACTTGGCTGATACTTTGCTATATCTTCTCAACGGCTCCCACATCAGAACGGATCCTGAAATTTGTTATGCTCATCAGTGCTTTCGCACAAACCTGCCATTACTGCATAAATTATTATATTATTTAGAAACATATATCTAATACGCATACAGGTTGCGCAGCTTAGAAAGGCTGCATGTTTCACCAACACTTAGCTCTTATTGAAGCTCCGCCAATTCCCATAATTCGCTTCAAGCATGTTGGTTAGTCCGGGAAAAAATCGGCAGCAATCCCCACAGAGCAGCTGAGACGACCTGAGCCGCCGGGCCCTGCACGCGAGTCGGTCGACCACCGGCATGCCTGGGAGGAAGCGGTTGCTGCCTGTTCCGAAAGTGACCGCGCCGCTCACGGCATATGTGACCGCCGCGGATCATCGACACCGATGACGCCACTGGTCTCAGAGGTGACGTCACTGGGAACAGCGAGCCGGGGCGGTTCTCCAGGAACACGGTGGGGCGTGTTCCGATCGGAGGCAACTCTCGCTTTCGCGGTGACGGGGAGAGGATTTGACGGCGGCCATTTCGGCCAACTTCACAAACCGGTATGATGTCACCAGAGCGGTGCAATTACTGAGGAAACGATTGAGAAACATCAGATCATTTCACTCGCTAATTGGTGCTGGAGATGAAATCGTAGACAGAGTGCAGCTACGATCGTGCAATGTAATGACCCTCGACAGGGATGCAGCAGAGGTCTCGATGTTAACTTTCCATGGTGTAGGTGGCTGCTGAAATTCGCTGTCAAATAATCAAAATGTAAGATGCACGATCCAGACTAT